AAATTGTTCAAGAAACGGTCGATGTGCACACTTTGGTATTGTACGCATTTGTTTGTACGAGTATCTAGGAAGAAAAAATTGAGGAAAAATAGATTTTGTATACATTTTCAGTTATTTTTGTAATTTTGAAATATAAAAATAAAGCAATAATATAACTTGCATTAATATTAAGAAATTTGCAGGCTATAAAAGAACGCCATAAAAGCACGCACCGATTTGCAAACAAACATCGAGTTTTCCAAAAAAAGTGTAAACAATGCAATATGACGACGGAGCCATGACAACTTTGGACTCTATAGCAAAATATTTGCATGGTTAATGTGCCTCGTCAGGTTAGGCGTTTACTGTGCCAGTTAATCCATTAGGTGTTTTTATGTATGTACATAATATGGTATTGGTGAGGTAATATGGCTTTAAACTTGCTCGTCAATCGAAGATGTACACACAGTAAAAACAATATTGATTATATCCAGTAACCCTAACTGTACGATTTTTAGACTACCCCACATGATATAAAATTTGTATTTTGAACGGACATTCTCTCCGATGTGAAATTTTCTTAAATCAAAATTTCTTTTATCTTAATTTGAATACTTCTCATATACACCCTTTTAGGGCGAACACAACTGTTGAAGAAACAACAGTGAACTAGAGAGTCTCCACTCTCTACATTCAAGAAAGTTTTCAGTGGTCTTATGAGTACACTTAAACTGCTTTAACTGCAAACAGATAATTTTTAAAGCAGTATATGCAGTCAGTGCTAAGTATAAATTATGCAATAAAGCCCACCGGTGCAGGTTGAAAGTTAAAAGTATTAGAGAACTAAGACATATCAATGTGGAACAAGTCTTAATGAAGTACCTAGCTGTATAGACCATAGCTGCAAACTATCAAATAAATTAAACCGGCTGTAGGAGTAAAGAAATGGACAATGAAAATAAGGTCTCATTAAACCGATGCTTAGTTTTAATACAAAAAATTGAACCAAATAAAAATAAAATGCCTAAGACAAATACTTCGAATAAGGGAATCCAGTAAAATAAAAAACGATAACCTAAATTATAATTATAAAATCTAGAATTCAGTTGTCTGCTTTGAAAACTAAAGAAGATAGAACAATGGAGGAAGTAAGCATAAGTTTTAAAGAAGAGCAGAACTTGGAGAAGAGAAAAAAAAATTATTTAATAAGACCTAAACCACGTTGTAAACACGCAAACTGAAGACAATTTTTAATATAGAATATGTCTACACTGCGTCTTTAAACACAAAATTTACAGTCTACATTTACATTTTTTTAACAATTATTAATCATATTTTATCTCTTATTGGAATACATAATACATTCATGAACCCTAACACACCCCTGATGAACCGGAACTAGAAGTATTTAAGAAAAAAGTTATACGCAAGATCTTTAATTCACTACGAATTCGTGGTGACTACTAGTTCTAAAAAAATTGCGAACTGTACGAGCTTTATAACGACGTTGATATCATAAAGCGAGTTCACATCCAGCGACTTTGCTGGCTTATTTCATTAGAATGGGAAAGTCTTTGAAGCGGCAGTCGGAGAAAGCGGATGTAAGGAATGGCCTTATCTTCACTAAAGTGATTTAGTCGAGGGAGCACTAAGTGCTTTGATATGTAACAATTTGATTTGTAACAAAAGAGGGTGCGTACGGGGGCGCACAAGTAGAAAACTTGCATTAAACCGCAAACCGGCAACAGGTTATCAAAATCAGATCAGTAAGTAAAAGTATATTCATTTGAGTTGATTTGAAAATCACAAGCTCACTGTTTTTACAATAATTGAAATGCAAAAACAATGCACAAAAACAAATAAAAAAACTTGCAACAACAATGTTGTGGTTTTGTGTACTACTGGAGTTTGTCTGTTTGTTTTCATATATATGAGTTTGTCCGCTTGTGCTTGCGGAGTGAAGGAGCTTACTTAGTAATTAATATTAATCCAAATAAATACGGCGATTTATATGCAGTGTTTACTTTTTTAATGTGAATTAGACTTGATCTTGTCACTGCAATTCTATTGTCTGTTGTTATTTTTATTATTAATATCAAAATTATTTGAGAAATATGATTGTATTAGTTAAAATATTATAAAAACGTATTACATTTTTAATTCATTTTAACTATTAAATAATAAAAATTAAAAATATAAAGCAAATGCATCAAAACATATAAATATATATAAAAAATTCACTCAAAATTCGAATGAATAGCGAGAATTTTAAATAAATAATTTTATAATTAAGTAATTAATTAAATAATCAAGTAAATGACTTTATATTAGGGATGTCCTAATATGTCCTAATATGTCTTTTTTGTGGACTCTATTATAATTATTACATGAGTGTTGCCCCAATTGCGATCAAAACAAATACTAACTGGAGTCGTTAAAATTTGAATATATTTAGTGCCTTAATATGCGCCCTGAAATATGTATATGTGCTTTAACTGTAGTATTGATTTTTTTATACCAGAGGTGTTGACTTTATTTCTAGAGATTTTGCAATAATAGGATACTTAACTATTTTAGTAAGGCTTTTCTGTATATTATTAGTGAAATCAATAGTAAGAAGCAAACTAAATCGAAACTAGTAGATATGTGTAAGTTCTGAAAAACAGCATTACGATAAGCTACAATACTGACCCGAGTCGATAAACACAACGATATAAAAGAAATATGAAAGTTTAAATATAAAACTCTTAAAGTTAGGTAAAAAATCATATATATATATATATATATATAAGGTTTTATAGTTCTTATTGTAGTTCTTATATATTTAAAAAGCGTAACTAACAGAAAACAAATACTGGTGAGAATTCAAATAGATAAAATGTTAATATCAATCAGAGTAAGTGTTAAAGACGAAAAATTGAAGAAAACCTTGATCCAGATTGAGAAAACTTAACAGCTCTATGAAAACAAAATACAAAACAAATGGACTTAAATATGTGTTTCCATTACAGTAATTTATATAATTGTCGACATGTCTAAACACAAATGATTTGGATAGGACTTACAAACTAGATTGGGCAAAAAGTGTTAGGCGTTTTTTCGTTTTTTTTTGATTTTTAAATGCAAATAAACATTTGAAAGATTATCAGCAATATTATTTTTATATTGCTGGTACAAAAACAGTAAAGCGTGCAACAAATCTATTGAAAAAAAACGAAGATTAGTAAGATCAAAAATTATATGTAAACAAATTGCGGAGAGGTGTTTTCTCAAATATAAGATACATTTAAGTAAGTATTTGTAATAAGATTATATATAGGTAATTATATGCGTCGCTAAAGTAATGTACTATGTACTATTAGAATTGCATGATGTTGGATAAATAAAAGCCCAATTGTTGTCTCTACAATAACATGGTATATTACAACCATGTTATATTGTTACATTGAATTAAATTCCTTATTCATTCTTTTTGAAAAAACGAATAGAAAACGGTTTGCGGTAGTGGAGTTTCCAAGAACGGCTGAATTTACGTCCCGGAGCCGCTCCTCAAGTTCAATGACCAAGTACCAGATGCGTGTTTCTTTTAACATTTACTAACTTTTCCACCTGTGAATAAATCTTTATAATTCTTTCATATCTGCTTTACAGTTCTATACAGACTACAACAACAATAACAACGGTTAGTAAAAGTTCGATATCGATTTGTTGCAACATTCTAAAGGACTGTAACTTTAGTATGTCGAAAATATGTAGAGTCACTACAAATAGATAATTTTTAAAAATTCTGCTTAGTTTGGAACCTACACTATATGTTGAGAACTCAGCAAAGAATATATCTTTTCTGACAATTTAACGACTTTGCTTGTTACTGAGTTCTTTTTGTACTGAAATCTTTAATAAAAGATGGGATGACTCAACGATATGCAGACATCTGTATGCAATCTGGCTACATTCCGATAAAAGGAAATCCAAAATTATCATTGAGGTACCCCGTGGAGATATCGGTCTTTTGGTAGGTTTACTTACAGGGAACCATACTAGAAGATTAGATCTCTTTTTCAATCAAATCTGATGCAGCTATGGAGATGATGAGAGTGCCTCTCATCTGCTTTGTTTTTGCCCAGCTCATACACGGCGCGATTTTATATTTTACCAATCCCCTGTCTGAAGGACGTAGACCAATAACAGGACCTAACACTAAATAGTATCTTATGCTTCACTAAAAATGAACACAGTGGACGAATAGGCCTAAGTGGATCCACTTGGGATGACCGGTTTAACCTAACCGAACCTAATGGCTTTGCTCTCAAACAACTATCACTATGAATTATTCACTTAGTGTGTTAACTTGAAAAATAACATTAATAGTTACCACAAATTAAATTAAATTTCGATAAACAAAATAAGATTTGTTAGGGCCAAGTACTATAAACAAACAAAATGTTTTGTTTTTTATATTATATTATATTAACTATAGTATATACAAGCTACATACTATCTATATTGTAACAAATATTCGAGAAAAAGATTATCAACAATTAAAATCAATTTTGTTTCTAATTAATTAAAGTTTATCTCCAATTTTACTACGAAGCTCCCGCCCTCTGCGCCCTATTGATGTTTCATTTCTAAACAAACAGACTTCGTTCTGCTTTGGCTCGCGAATTGCACTTGTTTTGATTGCAACAAAATAGTTTTTTATAAAAACAAAAGCAACAAATTGAATCACTTAGAACACATATGAGTATTAATTACAGGAAAGTACCTCCAATCGAATCGTGCGAATCTTTAAAAACAATTTTATATATTTGCACTTAAGATATTTAAATATATTATACGGAATGTTATGGATTTAATTTTTATAGTTTGATACGCTAATATGCTAAATAATTACTTTTTGGTTTGCATGCATTCGAAAGAATATTACTGAAATCTTATTGGAAGAGATGAATAAAATCTTTTCACTTCACTGACGTCAAACAATTCTAATTGGATCTAATAAATAAATTTGTACTTACTTATTTTGTAATATAGAAAAAGTTAGTTGATTTTATTAAATAAATTCGGCTAGAAATGATATGTGTATCGCGTTATGTTATTATGGCGTTAATACACAAAAATACAAAAATGTCCGCACATAATTAAAGCACAAGCAAATAATAAACAAAATTGAATTTACAAAAAAAAATGTAAGTAAGGAAAAGAATTATGTGTATAAAGTTTTAATTTATTTGCAAGTGCAGTAAATTAATATGTAAGCTAGTTAACCAGTTCACCGACTGACCATTGACAGCGTCACTGTATTAAAGACAGCACAAACAACAATAGCGACGACTTTTAAGACATACAAAATCAAACACTTTTCATCATATCCAAACCATATTCACAACACTTTAACTCAAGAATAAAATGAATTCACAAATTAACTGAACTTTAATTTTGCTTAATTGAATTTAATTGCATTTTTTCTCATAAACTTCAACAGCACTGTTGCCTATTTCAGTATTTCTTTGACTTTTTGTTTTCCATTCTTGCGTTTTTTTCCTTTTTTTAGATGTTGTTGTTCTTTCTATTTTATTTATTTAATTTTTCACTTAACTGCTTTACATAAACCAGGACATTTTTCTCACCTTAAATTATTAAAATTAATTTGCAAGATAAACAAAAAACTCAATGAAACAATTGAAAGTAAAGAAAAACTGTTTTTCTCTAACTTTGTGCAATATTAGCACATATAAATTCCTCATTCGTCAATTGTTCGTGTACAAAGAAAAAATGTTCTGCGCTAAAAACGTCAAATATTTTATCATTTACTTGTGCTGCCACTGAGTAGTAATTTTTTTGACATTCAGAATATACAATACTAATAGAATAAATGCAATAGATGGCGTATTGATAACCACTGATAAAGTAAATTCAATTTACAAGGCAATTATAATAAAATTCAAGTAAGAAGCAGGGAAGGTAATTACTAATGGCGTTTTCGATTAGTAAATTTAAAATCAATTTAGATTTACTCTAGATCTGTCATATTATGCAGTCCAATCGAACGTCCAATCGAATAATCTAACATTAGCCGTAATTTTTTTTTCTCAGAGTAGCAAAAAAATACTCGCAACTTACACAAGAAAACATGTAAAGCAACAACAATGGCCAAACACTTTGGCCACTAAAGAAAAAAGTGCTACTAACGCAATAAACGAACTATTATGAAACTTCGTTGGAAATTTCAACGAATATTCCAATCATATGTCAAAAGTTTGTAAACAAATATGCAAACAAAATTAAAATGTTGAACTAATTTTTTAATTGTGAAAATGAAATATTTAAATATATGCAAAATTGTTTAAAACAATATTTTAAAAAAATTCCCTATAAATATACAAAAATTTATGTCAAATTTATAGGAGTATTCTAAACTATTATTAATTTTGTTGTTAAAGGAAATTTCAATTTTATATTAACTATTTATTTTTATACAAAATGTAATTTGCTTGCATTATGTGCACATATGCAACATTTGCTATTTGCCAAAACATAATGTTTGACAGATTGCAACAGTGATGCCAATTCTCGCTTAGCGTCTATAGGCCTTAGCCTATAAATTACGGCTTTTATAAAGTGTATTTCTTTGACATGAATGCTCCAATAAAACAACTTTTAGTGCTTAAGAATAACTTGGCATCACTGCTAAGTTATTTTTTTATAAACACATAAAAAAAATTCAAACAAATTTGCGATTGAATTTTAAAAAAAATTTTATCAAAAAATTACCTTTTTAGAATATTTACTCAATATTCTAAAATATGTTAATTACTCATTAACACTCGCAACAGTTTTAAATAATAAAAAACAGACTTGAGTTTTGCATGTTAATTTTTAAACAACACGCGTTCTATTGGAGCATTCATGTAAAAGAATACACCTTATATAAAATCTTTATTTAAAGTCTGGTAAAAACATCTGTTTCTTGATAAACAAATTAAGTAAAAAAGTAATTATAAATTTGATTAAAGTTGAAGCAATGCAATTCATATTTCAGAATTAATAATAATTTAGCTTTTAAAATGTAACATAATAATAAATATATTATTTAATAAAACCAAAATAATAATAAAATAAAATAAATTATTGTAATAGTTAAATAATTACCATTAATTGATTTAAATTCGTCGAAATTGTAATAATTATATGTTTATAATTTTTATAGTTATTTAATTATTAATAAATAAGTTATAACAATTAATCAAATTAAATGAAAATAATTAATTTATTAAATAATAGTTGTTCTTATTATTCTTAACATTCTTCTTATTCAGAGGTTCCTCTTGGCCTCTGAATTGGTGAACGAATTTCAGGTACGTTGACGCTATCTTGCAATGTCTCGCTGATGTCGGATGCGGAAGACGAACTACTGAAACAAAAATTCAGTAAGTATTGGGAGTCGGGTAGACTAATCTTTAGCACTCTAAAACTACTTCGACCTCACTTGTTCTCCGCCTGATTCAACTGATTCCGCGCATAACGTAACCCTATCGTCGATAATTTATAATAGAAGCCTACCTTCGAAGAGGGACTTTCTTTTGGAAATAATCTGAAGGTTTCGAGTTTAATTAAGGCTTCGCCAAGCACAGTATTGCTAGTCTTCTCATCTTCTTCTTTTTTCTGTGTGTTTGCTTAGCTTTGGCAATAAAACCCATCTATTCCAGCTTTTTAGAAATATACCGCTATTGAAGCATACTATAATAGTCAGCTATCAGCTTTTAGGTTTAAAACACTTTCTTTGTTGTTACAGCTCTCTCATGACTTAATTCTTTGTGATGGTAAAAGGCTTTCTCATTGCCTGAAGAGATCAAAGTAAATTGTCCACAACTACTAAATCAGTGGGCTATGACGTATTCGATAACAATATTGATCATGGCTAATTTGTACGCTCTACCCAATGCATCAATATTTAGCCTTTCGCACAGCTCTTTGCAGCGAGTTGCGTAGACATTGAAGGAGCCTTTGATAACACTTCACATGAGGTTATAAACTCAACTATTTCTAAAAGAGGAATCAATGGCACACTCTCACGCTGGATGAGCAATATGCTTCGCACCAGGAGAGTAGAAATTCCGACCAGCAATGGTAATATTTTTGCAAATACTTCGCGAGGGTGCCCACAAGGTGGAGTATTATCACCCCTTATGTGGAGTATGGTAGTGGATGAACTATTGGTAAAACTGGACAGGAATGGCTTCCAAATCCAGGGGTACGCCGATGATGTGGTAATTATCTGCAGAGGAAAATATGAGAGTACTCTGTGCGAAAGAATCCAGTTAGGCTTAAAACTAACTAAAGAATGGTGCAATTCGGTTGGGCTGAAAATAAATCCAGCAAAAACAACCATTGTGCTATTCACTAAGAAATACAAAATAAAAAACCTTAAACCCATCCGCTTAGATGGGTTTGAAATAAAACTACAAAAGGAGGTAAAATTTTTGGGTATAATTTTAGACCAAAAATTAACATGGAAATCTCATATCCAAGAAGTGACAAAAAAGGCAACCAAAGCCTTTATGACATGTAGATCCATCGCAGGTAAGAATTGGGGATGTACACCAAAGTCACTGCGATGGATATACACAGCAGTAATCAGACCAATGATCACCTACGGATCAATAGTCTGGCAGAACTGCACAAATCAACAAAGCGTTATCAACACACTCAACAAGGTACAACGACTTGCATGTGTAAGCATAACAGGAGCAATGAGAACATGTCCCACGTCATCAATTGAAGTACTCCTGGAACTTACTCCTCTTCATATCTATGTGCAATCACAGGCGAAGAGGGCTGCTCTAAGAGTAAATACAAATAAGGTGACTGGTCTTGAAACCAATAGCAAAAAACTTGATACTTTGGCTGCACAAATCCCAGAAATTGAAATGCCAATGGACAGGATGATTGTAAAGCATAACTTTACAAAAAACTTCAAAACTGAACTTGGCAACAAAAAGAACTGGGAGGTTTGTCTAACATCCCAAAAATAAAAGAAACCATGATAACATGGTATACAGACGGCTCTCTCACCAATGAGGGAGCTGGAGCTGGTGTTTATGGACCAGGCAAAAAATACTGGGAAGCATTAGGAAACAATACAACCATCTTTCAAGCGGAAATATACGCGATAGATAGATGCGCCAGTTTCAATATTGAACGTAACTACCGGAACCGTAAAATTGCAATACTGACTGACAGCCAGGCAGCTATAATGGCACTCATATCTTACCAGGTAACATCCAAACTGGTATGGGAATGCATTGACAAGCTGAACACACTCGGTGGGATCAATCAGGTGCACCTTTTATGGATTCCGGGACATACTGGTATCCAAGGTAATGAAATAGCAGACAAACTTGCAAGAAGAGGCGCGGCATCAAGAATGATAGGCCCAGAACCATTCTGTGGTCTAGGCAAAGGAGCTATATCCATTATCATGAATGACGCAGAGAAAAAAGAGAGAGAACTCTATTGGTTAATGCTACCAAGACTCTCACAATCTAAAATGCTTTTAGGGACTTACAACCTAAAACGCTTTAAAGATTGCATAGTGCAATCAAAGACTAACATAAGAATTATTACGGGTTTACTGACCGGTCACTGCAGATTGAATAATCACCTATCGAAGTTAGGAATTCAATCCAACTCAGACTGCAGATACTGCAGGGAAGAGAGAGAAACGGCATACCATGTGCTTGGGGAGTGCCCGGCACTGATGCATAAACGAAAGAAACACCTAGGAGGGTATTTCATGGATCATAAGGATTCAAGACTGGAGAAGATAGGATCCATACTGTCTTTCATTAAAGAAATCGGACTTGGAGAAATACTCTAACCCGACAAAGGGGCACAATAGATCTTTTAGGTCGCAGTGCACGATCCCTTACTCAATAATAATAATGTTTATAATTTTTATAGTTATTTAATTATTAATAAATAAGTTATAACAATTAATCAAATTAAATGAAAATAATTAATTTATTAAATAATAGTTGTTCTTATTATTCTTAACATTCTTCTTATTCAGAGGTTCCTCTTGGCCTCTGAATTGGTGAACGAATTTCAGGTACGTTGACGCTATCTTGCAATGTCTCGCTGATGTCGGATGCGGAAGACGAACTACTGAAACAAAAATTCAGTAAGTATTGGGAGTCGGGTAGACTAATCTTTAGCACTCTAAAACTACTTCGACCTCACTTGTTCTCCGCCTGATTCAACTGATTCCGCGCATAACGTAACCCTATCGTCGATAATTTATAATAGAAGCCTACCTTCGAAGAGGGACTTTCTTTTGGAAATAATCTGAAGGTTTCGAGTTTAATTAAGGCTTCGCCAAGCACAGTATTGCTAGTCTTCTCATCTTCTTCTTTTTTCTGTGTGTTTGCTTAGCTTTGGCAATAAAACCCATCTATTCCAGCTTTTTAGAAATATACCGCTATTGAAGCATACTATAATAGTCAGCTATCAGCTTTTAGGTTTAAAACACTTTCTTTGTTGTTACAGCTCTCTCATGACTTAATTCTTTGTGATGGTAAAAGGCTTTCTCATTGCCTGAAGAGATCAAAGTAAATTGTCCACA